GAATGAATGAACTTCAGTCTGTGAGGTCAAAGGATAAATGTCTCACATCAGGAAATGTGCCCAATTCAGTGACAGCCACACAAATTGCCTGTCTTCATGCTCCTGTGCCTGAAGCAGCTTGCAGCAAAATGGATTCTAGAAGTTGTAGTTGGGGAGATGACCATCCCTGGGATGTGTGTGTATGTGTGTGTTTCCTTTACATTATGCAATTTGAACAAAAGAGGAGTCAACCCTGAGTGGTACAAATGGTTAACATGCTTGGCTGTTAACCAAAAGGTCGGAGGTTCGAGTTCACCCAGAGACACTTTGGAAGAAAGGCCTGGTGATCCACTTCTGCAAAATCAGCCACTGAGAACCCTATGGAGCACAGTTCTACTCTGACACGCATGGGGTCGCCATGAGTCAGAGTCAACTTGATGTCAGCTGGTACTGGCACAAAAGAAGAACAAAGCAAAGCAGTAACCCTTATCCTTGTCAAGCAGGGAAGGATGCCTGGCATCTGCCCAGGTAATGCACCCTCTCCGGGCTGTCCCCCCAGCTCTGATTGCCAGCTGCTCTCACATGAACAGCCTTTCTGCGGGGAGAGTGTCTAGAACAATCCCCCTCCTCCCATGACCTCTCTTTGCCCCCTGAAGGAAGGCCCTGGCAGGGTGGGGCCATCACTCTGCCCACAGGAGCTCCCCCAGAGCCCGGCTGCAATGGGGGAGCAGAAAGGAGCCATCGTCAGGGCGAGGCTCCCCAGGAGGACATCTTGGGAGGCCGGGAGGAGCTGCTAAGTCAAAAGCCTCCCTGAGGAAAAGAGCTGAGCCATCCCTGAACCCTCAACCACTACGAACCACAGCAAACTCATCCGGGAGCCGTAAAGGGAGAGCTTTAACATGCCAAACCGCAGGGAATCTCCTCAGTGGAGACTCCTCTAGAAGTGGGAGGAGGGAGAGAGCTCGGGGTCGGGGGGTGTCCCCTTGGTGACCGGCCAGTCCAGTGCTTTGTTGTTGTTGTGTGCCGTCCAGTCGATTCCAACTCATAGCAACACTACAGGACAGAGCAGACCTGCCCCATTGGGTTTCCAAGGCTGTAATCTTTACAAAAGCAGATTGCCAGGTCTTTCTCCCAAGGAGCAGCTGGTGGGTTCAAACCGCCAACCTCCTGGTTGCCAGCCGAGCGCTTAACTACTGCACCACCAGGGCTCCTCTGCTTATAGCAGGCTTTTTTTTTCTGTAGCTCCAGGGAGGGTGACAGGCCCTGGGGCCGAGCTGGGCCTGCCCCCTCACTCGCCAGTACCATCTCCACAACCCCCCATGTGTGGCCCCAGGAAAGGGAGCATGGTGACACGGGGAGCTCAAGGAGGAGTCAAAGCAAGCCACTGTCGTCAGAGCGGCCACACAGTGGGGTGGCCACACAGGGACAGACGGGTCCTGGTTCACTGAGAACGCAAAGCCTTTGCTTTATCTTGGCCCAAAACACTGGCCTGGCGTGCAGAGAAGAAGCAGGGGAGGGAGGAAGGCTGGGGACACATGCACGCTGCGGTATCTGGGGAGGGAATATGCGTGGAGTTGGCTTCAGCCAACCTGGCGTCACAAAAGCTGCTCCTAGCTGAGAGTCCTGACCTGGTTCATCCACCTGGCAGGAGGCATAGATGCCTCTGGAAACAGCAGTGGGGTCAGTTACCTCTAAGACTTCTGAGAGCCTGGCTTCGAGAAGACGTGTCCAGCCAGACCTGAGCCCAAGCTTCTGCCTGTCATACCCTCTTCCCCAGTGGACCACGCAGGACCTGAGTTTCACTGATAAACCACCCACAGGCTTAAGCACTGTGAGGTCAGACGAGGTTGAACCCACAGCCAGGGCAGCAGAGCAAACCACGGGGCAGGGGCGAGGACTGTCCTCCCTACTCAGAGAAAGCTGCCTCAGAAGGTAAAGCAAACCCTCCTGCGGCGGAGAGCCTATGTGACCTTTGACATCACCTGATGGGCACCTGCCTTCCGGGGGAAGAGTAAAGAGAGAAAGCCTTGAGCTGTCTGTCACTGTCTGTCCTCCCTCCGCCCCCTACCCCCACAGTAGCACCAGGAGAGGAAGACCTCAAGGGAATGGTCTCCATTTCCTTCTCTCTAAAACCTGTCCCTCCAAGCAGGCCATGACCCTACTCCACCCAAACTGCTATCAGGGCCACCAGTGACCTCACTTTGCCACACCAGATGGATAATTCCCAGCTGCCAACGTAGCTGACCTGGTAGCACTTTGTTCTGGAAGTGCTCTCTTCACTGGCTTCCAAGACAACCTCCTCCTGGGTCCATGGCCATTCCCTGTTCACCTCCTCGTCAACTGGCCTCTAAACCCTGGCGTCCCAGGGCTCAACCTCAGGCCTCTCCCCTCTTCCCCACCCCCCCCCCACTCCCTTGGGAATCCCATCCAGGGTCATGGCTTTAAGCATCATTCCCACATGAATGGTCCCCCACTTATAACCCCAGCCCATATCCCTCTCCTGGACTCCAAGCTTGAATCCCCACCCAGATGTGACCATGAGCAACATAGACTTAACTCTGCTCTGGAACCTGCTCCTGGGGCTTCCCATCCTGCCACCTGCTCAGGCCAAACACCTTGGAGTCATCCTGAATCTTCCCTTCCTCGTCTCACATCTGACCCAGGATGGTGCCTCCAAACAGCTCTGGAACCTGACCACCTCTCTCCACGTCCACACTCCCATCCTACCCCCTCCCACCTGAACACCTGTCACAGCCTTCTCCTGGCCCCCCAGTGGCCATTCTTACCCCTGTGGACCATTTTCCATACAGCAGCCAAGTGACCCTTCCAAAACACATGATGTCCCCTCTGTGGAGGAACGGGTCAGGCTGGCAGCTCTGACACCCGATACCCCATCTTGCATCCCACAGTGCAGTAGGGCTGACAGCTCTGCACCACCCTCTGTGCTTCTGCTCCACTGACCACATCTGTTTTCCCATCTGGACCCTCCAAAGTCAACTGGCCGTGGAGAGGGGACCACTCGTGTTTGAGCAGGTCTAGGGCAAGAGAGAAGCCAAGAGGCCCTGGCACTGCATGACATCATGACTGTGTGTGTGGGGGTCCTCATCATTCACCAGAAGGGCCCCGAGGTGGGCGCTCTGGTCACTAGGCACATCTAGACTCTATTCTGGGTCCAGCTCGCAGGCGCACTTCCCAGCAACTTATTTTCACTCTTGTATTCTGACTCTCTTTTAAAATTTTCCAAAAAAGAAAACTTAGGAAAGCACCAAGCTCCCCGTCTGACACAGAACTAAGGCGGCCGTTTCTCTACTCACCAGGCCTGCGCCTGCAGAACCGTTCCGCCCTGCCTTGTTCTGACTCAGCACAGACGGAGAGCCCCCAGCCCCTGCCTCTCAGCCGCTCCAGGGGTCTGTGGGTGTTGACCACTCTACTGGAGACCAGGCGTCTCAGTGGCCACCTAATGACACCGCAGGCTCAGCAAGTCCCTCATCTGTCTGTCTGCACAGAATGCAAGTGAAAACTCCTTCGGTCTGGGACCACCCCTCTGCCGGAGGAGAGAGGTGGGCCATAGCCCAAGGCACCCTCAAGGTCCAGGTCCTGGGCAGGATGTGCCCGGAACTCCTGATCCCTGACCACCCGGCTCTGGGCTTACTACTCTCCTTCACTTCCCCCGTGGAGACAGACTCACAGAACTCGCTCCACTGGTTCCTATTCCAGGTCTGAGATGACCTCCCTGGGAGGTCACCTGCTAGATGTACACCTGGTAGCCTCTGCCAGGAGTCCCGTGACCCCAGGGTGCTGGGCCTCCCAGGTCGGGCAGAGCAGCCCTGGAAGCCGGCAGTGCAGAAGCCCACCAGGGCCATCAGCTCATGTCATTGCCCAGCCAAAGCCGGGGTGGGGCAGCAGGGTTTCCTAAGAAAACCGTGTAAGAGTTGGCAACTGCCTGACTGCCCGGGAGGTTTTCTTCTCCAGTATCTTCTGAAGAGTGAAAGTGGGGTGGGGGGGCAGAGGAGGAAAAGAGAGAAGGGGAGAGGGAGGGTGAAGGGACAGGGAGGAAGAGGAGCAGGAATGGGAGAACCTGAGGGTTTGGAGACTCCAAGACAGAGTGAGTGTCCGTGGTTGGGGAAGGAGCCTCACCCCATTCACCGGTCTGCAGGGGCAGTTAGAACTTGTGGTGCCAGGTCACACCCCAGAGGGACAGCCCATGGTGAACTGAGTTTTCTGGCCTACCCCTTCCAGTGGTGGGACATTCATGCCATGGCAGGGACCCATGGAGGCACAGAGCAAAGGGGGCCCGGCTCAGGCTCCAGGAGAGAGGGCCAAGCAGAGTGGACAGTTCCGGAACACTGGGACCTCCCACCACCTCAGGCACCGGGCAGCCACAGAGCCTCCATCTCTCAAACCAGGGCAGTGCACTGCACACGGGCTGTTTTCACACGCACACTGAGAGAGGCCACGCCCTTTTCCAAAGGACACTTGGAAATTGCAGCTGAGAGGTGCTGCCTGTTTCTAACACACGTGTTCCTCCCCAGTCCAAGAGGAGTCCGCTTAGGAACCTCCAGCACCAGCAAAAGTCCCTAAAGCTGACTAATGAGTGAGAAAGGCCATTAGCTTTCATTTATGTGAAGGAGGGGTACCAGGAGTCCCAAAGGTCTTGGACCTCCAAGTCCACAATCCTCAGGCTCAATAATACCCTGGTTACTGTGCTAGAATCTGGTCAACTTCAGATCAAAGCTACAGGCAGGTCAAGCAGAAATCAACAAGGTCTATCAAAGACGCTTCATTCATTTGTTCACTCATTCATTCATTCAGAAGTGCTGCCTGCCAGGTAATCGGGTAGATTCTGGCTTGAATTCCTCATTGAACCTGGAGCAGGCAAGAGTTGCCTTGAGGGTCTGAACACACGGGGATTCCTACTTAAAGACATTTCCATTCCAATGACTGTGTGGACTTGGGCCTGGGCCTGGCCAGGACCACTGGGACACGTGAGGGTGCTCCTCAGCCACGCAGGGGACACTTACGATCGAGCCCGTTCAAGTAGCGCATGCGGATCTCACAGTGGCCCCAGACGGCACTCACTACAGGATACAGTTTTTTGCCTTTGAGTCCCCGAAAAGCCACTCCCATGTACTGTCCATCCACAATGAAGCTCAGGGTCCCGTCATCCATGTCCAGGGCCACCAGGAAGGAGTCGGGGACAATGAAGGTCTCGTCGGGCTCCAGGAAGGCGGGGTACGTTTTGCTCGGCTGGTTCTTGCCATCGTGGTAGAGCCGGTTGCGCCCCAAGTCCCAGCCCCAGGACTCGTGGTTGTTCCCCACGAGCGTCGTGTACCCGACGGAGTGCAGGGGGGCGTCCGCCGTGGCCACCCCCACCACAGCATGGGTGCCCCGCTGCCGCATGGCCCATGTGATCTGCCACACGTGTAGCCCCCGCGTGTACCCGACCTTGCCCCGGATGGCGTCCGTGCTCTGGGCCACCGGGTGGCGGTGGAAGATGAGCTTGTCGTCCTCTTTCACGAAGACGTTGAGCGAGCGGTCGTTGTTGTTCCATGAGTGCAGCAGCTGCACGTCATGGGACACCGGGGGCATGTCCAGCAGCAGGTCCAGGCGGGTGGGCTTGCAGTAGTCCAGGCCCTGCAGCTCCTGCTTCAGTGGCCGGTATGTGGGGTCCTGTATGTCCACTGTCTTGATCCCCCCGGTGACCTTCTGACCCATTCTTGCCTCCGGTTTCACCTTCCCCAGGAGCCCCGGGTCAGCTCATCAATCCCAGGCTCTGTCGTCCAGCTTTCCGATCAGGCTGGGGCCAGATACTTCGGGAAGGTTGCTAGGAGACTCCTCAAGTTGTGGAGCATCCAGTGCTGCCTAACGGAAAGGAAAACAGGAGATGGGTGAGCAGGGGTGTAGGAGGAAGGGGAAAAAGTGAACCGTGAGCATGAGGGTTATCAAGACAGCTGACCCCATGGCACATCCCAGCTGCTGGGGTGCTGGGCTCTCCATCACACCTGATCTGGGGTCGGAGGGAACCTCGGCACGGGACGAAATCTCTCCTCTGCCCCCACAGCTTCACTGTCATAAAGGAGAGGGGACACCTGCCAGCGTCTGCGTAAAGATGGGAGGCTCAGGGCTCAGCGATGGTGGGTGCACAGTCTGAGACCCACACATACGCTTGCCAGGTGCTGCATTGAGGCCAGGGCTCCTGGTCTCAGGGCAGAGGCCAGGCTGGTGCAAACCCTGAGATGAGCCTCTAGGCAGTGGGCATCACCCGTAGTTACAACAAGAGGAAGCTTATCTCCCTGGCTTTGCTGGTTAGAGGGGAAGGTGAAGCCTCCTACCCCCAGTTGCCATAGAGTTGATTCTGATGCATGGTGATCCCATGTGTGTCAGAGTAGAACTGCGCTCCACAGGGTTTTCAATGGCTGATTTTTCAGAAGTAGGTCACCGGGCCTTTCTTGTGAGGTGCCTCTGGGTGGACCCGAACCTCCAACCTTTCACATTTCAGTTAGTAGCCAAGTGTGTTAACTGCTCCACCACCCAGGCACTCCAGTGAAGCCCCCAGTAGCTATTTAAGACACCAGATCACAGCTCCTCTCTCTTTTCCAGCAGTGCTGCTCCCACAGACACATCCCCAGTTCACTCTGGGGAAGGGAACTCTGGTGTAGGCAGGAACCTCTGCTCGGGGGTCCGCATGTGCACTCGGCTGGGGAGGGCCAGGAGCCTTCCAGCTCAACAGTTCCTGAGGTGGCGGCAGCCCCTGAGCAGGTCCCCTGTCCTGCTTGAACTGGGGGCCACAGAGACACTCCTCTGCAGACCCCTGTGCTACTCGGCCAGGTGAGCACCAGAAGCTCTCGCCCCCACCCCCAGGGAGCTTTGTGCCAGCAGTCAGATGACCCCCTCTCTTTCCTGCCTGCACCCTTCATCTGTGGAGGAAGTCAGCCTCAGGACGCCTCCCTCTGCTCTGGCTCCCCCTCCAGTCCCCTGGGTCCCTTGAAGGAGTGGGGGAGGCAGGTTGGCGGAGAGACCTCACTGTATCTATTTCCTGTCCTCTCCTTCCGTGGTGCCCTGGGAAAGTTCTACTCAAGCAGGAGGCACTGAAAAAAACCACTGCCGTCACGTCAATTCTAACTCATAGTGACCCTAAATAACCCTACCGGACAGAGTAGAACTGCCTCCTTTACAGAAGGAGCCCTGGTGGTACAGTGGTTAAGCACTCGGCTGCTAACCGAAAGGTTGGCGGTTCAAATGCACCAGTCATTCCACAGGAAAAACATGTGGTAGTCTCCTTCCATAAAGATATACAGCCCTGGAAACCCTATGGGGGCAGTTCTACTCTGTCCTATTGGGTCACTATGAGTCAGAATCAACTTGATGGCAATAGGTTTGGGCTTAATCTTTACAGAAGCAGACTGCCACATCTTTTTCCCAAAGCAGCTGGTAGGTTTGAACTGCTGACCTTTTGGTTAGCAGCCAAGCGCTTAACCATCAAGCCACCAGAGATCCTTCAAGGAGGAGGAGGAGAATGAAATTTCAGAAGTGACAGGACTTGGGCAACCCTGCTGTTCCATCCTGTGCTTCTAGCCTTGGATAAGAAGAAATGTTGTTTGGGCTTTCTTGGCTTCATTCAAGAAAAAAGGTGCTTTCTGCCATCAAAAACATCCTTGGTCCTGGAGAGGAACTCTTGGCTGCCTGGTTTAGGGGGTTACAAGTTCTGGGGATCAACCAAACAAGGGACAAGACAGGCTCCTGGCTAAAGAAATGCAACCAAACGAGAACGCAGAATTTACAGCCAGAGCCGTTGGTGGAAAACTGTCGCTTGGGTTGCACTTTACAGGGAGCATTCAGGTGTGAAGTGAATGGAACAGAGAATACAGAGGGACCTGGGGGAAGGGGGTCTGCAGGCTTATTGCTGCAGTTGGCCTATTGCCTCTCCAGCCTGCACAGCAATTGCTGCCCCACGGCACAAGGACAGGGTGCCTGCTGGTAGGTGAGGGGGGCGGGACAGGGCACAGAAACATCAGCCACCTGACACAGGGAAAGCTGGGAACCTCAGAGCACAGGCCTCCCACTCGGCGCCTGGGGCTAGCAGGGCCTAGAAGGAGGAGCAGGCTCAGCATTTGGGCCAGAAGCCTCCCTGGCATCTTCAGCCAACCTGAAGCTTCGTCAATGAGCTGGGAAGACTAACACCCTCGGGTGGCCACACCTCCAGAAGCCTTGTTTCTGAAGAACGTTCCGAGCGGGAACATTTGGGTACCTGGACTCCCTTTTCTCCATGGGCAGGGGTAGGATAGCGGGCCCCTCGTTCCCTGAGACTGGCAAGAACAGCTGTGTCAAAGGTGTGTCCCTCTGCAGCAGGGGGCCACCTGGTTCCAGGACAACCTCGATGAGTACGGTGACCTCACTGTGACACAGTGATCAGAAAACAGGGTGGCCTCAAAGAGATGCACCCGCTGTCGTCCAGAGCAGTCCCAACAGTGAGACTCTACCACCTCTGGTTGCCAAGCAAGTCCACAAACACACACCTGCGGCTAAGCTTCCGCCTCCCTTGGGCCACACGTCGGGAACCATCAGAGAGTGACCCATCCAGGCCCGGCACCGAAGGGCTTTGAGCAGCAGGAGTCTCTGGGAGGAAAAGTCCAGCAGGAAGGGGCCTGGGGAGAGGGTGGCAGGACATTCTCCCTGGGCATCGAGGGCAGGAAGGTGCCTGGGGCATCGTTGGGGGGGGGTCTCTTACAGGGACGTGAGCCACCCACTCTGCCACTTCTGAGTCATCCTGCCATCTGAGTCACCTCTAGGTGGTCAATTGCCGTGGCAACCCCAGGGCCACTCCTGACTCATCCATCACCTGCCCGCCTCCACCCATGTCCAGGCTATGGTTAAAGCTGACACTTCCTTCTCTTCAACTTCCTACCGTCCATACTTGGCCACCTCTTTACCGTGCAATGACACCAAGGCTGTCGGCTACTCACCTGCTTCCATCTATTTTTCAATGCAGCTGCAGAGGCCCACCCTTCCTGCGGGTCCTCCAGGAGCTCAAGTGGCTCACCTTCTCCCAGCTCCAACCCAGCCAGGCGCTGTCCCCTTAGGATCCTCTTCATCCACCCCGTCCCACTGCCCAGTGCTCCATCCAGCCCTGCTTTCCTGAGCTTCTGATCCTTGGGGAAACTCATGCACAAAGCCACTGGCTAGGATTCAACCTTGACTCTCCCAGGCTTCTGTTTGCTTATCTATAAGACAGGGTGTCACATATGTGTCACATACTCACCTGAGAATCAACTGAGACGGTAGTCACGGGAGGACCTGGCACACTGGCATTTTTACAATGTTTTTGTTCTGTTTTATCCTGAGACTGTGCTCTGTACAACTAACAAAGACCACTGTTACCCAGTCTCCCCAGTCACCACACCTGGCCCTATAGATGGGGAGCTGTCTTTGGGCCAAAACTGCCCAGTCAAGTGCTTAGAATGTTGGGCTAGAGCAGATCAAGTTCAAAGTACCAGGGGTCAGCAAACTTTTTCTATAAAGGGCCAGATAATAAATATTTTAGGCTTTGCAGACAATATGTAAACAGGTAGGCATGGCTGTGTTCCAATAAAACTTTATTTATAAAAGCAGGCAGTGGGTCGGATTTGGCCCATGGGTTTGCTGACCTCTGTTCTAAACCAAAGCAAAACCTGGGCAGCCCCCATTGCCAAAATACCTGGACATGGACCCAAGGGAAGGGGCTACACCACCCACAGATGCCGAGTGACTGCAACACTCCTCTGGCATGGGTTGCTCCTGTTCGCCACTAGTCCAAGACGGTGCATCATTGGGCAGGGGGAGTCCAGGTAGTGGGGGAACTTTTTGCATGCCCCATCTCTGGGACCACCCCCCTTTCCTGCCAGTCTATGAGAGAGGTGAATACATGTGCCCAGGCCTTGCAAGGCCCAGAGGTGCCCCAGGAGCGCCAGGGACTATGATTGTTTAGTGGGCCCTTGGGAGTGTCCATGAGGTAATGAAAATGAATTTTAAGCACACACACAAATAAAGGACGGAAAAACACCAGTTTAACACACCACATTCACAAGAACAAACTGCCCCCAAAGCAGTTCCTAAAGGCTCTCCACGCATGTCCCTTCTCATAAAGCAAGCACTACCATCTTGAATACTTTATCCACCGAGATACACGGTCAGAACCCATATCGGCAGAAGAGCATTTAAAATAAAGGACAAAAATCCCCAGATACAGGTCTGGGGCCATCCCAAAGAGAGACACGATTTCTACAAGCATTTCTCCTAAGATTTTCAATCACTGTTTCTAAGTCACACATTTTCAGTACCCAGTAAATGGGGCAGCAGCCTGCTGCTGCTGGCCAAAAGCACGAGACCAGAACGGCTGCTCAGTCCTGAAATTGGCCACGGCAAAAAGAGACAGAGGTTCCCGTGATGGAGTCACCGACCACTGGTCTGGCCCCAAGGCGCCAACTCCAGAGAAAAGGAGGTGAGGAGGAGTGACAATTTTGGCTCGAAGAGTGGATTTCTTTTTCTTTGTTTACAAACTTTTTATTGAGCATTAGGTGAAAGTTTACATAGCAAACTAGTTTTCCATTCAGTAGTTTGCACATAAAGTGTTTCATAACATTCGTTTCATTCCCCACAATGCATCAGTACTCTCCCCATTTCCGTCCTAGGTTCCTCGTTTCATTTCGTCCTGATTTTCTATCCCTTCCTGCCTTCTTATCTTTGCTTTTGGG